TTAAACATGTGGCAACGTCGCAACTTGTAGCCTGAGTGCGATCTATTTGAAAATATCGAGAGTATATATTCAATATACTAATTTTAGTACTGAAATGATTAGTTGTAAAATAATACACAGGATTGAGTAAAAAACTTAAATTCAAACATTTGGATAAGGTTTTATTATAAATGAAATAATTTTATAAAATATAGTAAATCTTTCATACATACAAGTACTCAGTCTTTGGTAATTCTCGCTAGCTTTGGTAATTGACATTATTTAAATAAGCAATAAACATTTATTAAATGATTTATTAATGTATAAAATCTAGGAACGAATTAAATATAAAAAATAACATTTTTTAACAAACAAGTTGAAAATAAATATGAAATACTATAGCTTACTTTCTAAATATGTAGCAATTTTTTTAATAATACTTCTCTGTTTGGTAACACGCACATTTCCATTTTCGTCTTCGCCAAGAAGATTTAGTAATCCTATGAACTTATGTTTTCTAAATGTTTCCAACATTAAATCGTAGGAAATGTTCGCAGCAGCTAATTTTTTCCTCATAGAAATTGAGGTGCAAGTACATAATGAGCTCAGTTCTTTCAAAGTTTGAGGCAATCGTTCATTATAAAGTTTACGCGCAACTACTTTATCCCAACTTACAGCGCTTTCTATTATTTTCTGATTTGAAATATCTAGTTTAATAATTACTTGCTCTAAGATGAGCACATCATTAATTGCATTATGTGCATTATTATTGGGTATTCCCAGTTTGTTCGCTAAGAACTCGAGTTTATTTTCGCCTTTTCCTTTCAACTTCGTACAATTTTTTATAACCGGCAATGTATCACAGAATCCCTCAACCACTGCTTTAAAATGCTCAACAAGGTATGTTTTTTCAATTGCTATCAATATTCGTGGAGCATCGAATTTACAGTTATGTGCTACTAAAATACATTTTCTTTTAAAAGTACTTAAAAATGTGTAAAATTGTTGCATGGCTTCCGATAACGAGACAGATTGAACTATATTATCATGAAATTGTAGTTGACCCGCAACAATTTTTAAACCTGTAACCTGGCTGGCCTTTACATCAATTTTCTTTACTGGTTTGATGTAAACTGAAAAGGTGGCCGCTCCGTGCTTTGCAGCAATTTGTAAAATATCTGCAGTTCTCGAGAAACCTCCAGTTTCCAAATCAAAGTAGACTGGTATTGGAGATAAAACGTCCTCAGGTACATGAATCACAGCAGGTAAATCGTTGCTCAAGAGTCCGATGTCTGACTGATATGTTTCAGGGCCTTCTGAAAATTCTTTTTTGTGTCGTAGCTGAGTCCTTACTTGTCTCAAAGCTAAACGCCTTTTCTTAAAATCTTTGGTACTTGATCTTTGGTATCTTTTCTGGGCTTTTTTGTCCTTTGTATGTCCGTATGTCTCGGTATGTACTCCAAGAGATAAAGATAATTTCTTTGCTAATTGAGTTACGTATTCCTCTCCATCATTCTTTTTATTGACTGCACACGCTACTCGATAATCACCTGAAGATGACGTCCCATATAGGCGAGACTTGGGTGCTTTACTAGCTATAACTGCGTTCAAGCTTTCATTTGCATTGCTTGACACTCCAGCTACGAATCTGTCAGTTTTGCTTGCCAGCACTTCAAATAAACATTTTAATGATTCGAACAGATGTGGGTCTTTGAAACCACTACCTATGGTAGAATGTTGATAACTTTCGGAATTTTCGTGATATCCGCACCAAGTCCCACAATTTGCATGTATGTTAAAACAGTGATGCGGTATATTTTTTATAGCTGCAGACATCTTCTCAGCATCGCCAACATTTTGGGATAAGCAATATGCAAAACATCGTTGAAGATATTTTATAGCGTCAGCAGTCAATTCTTTGTGATCTTTTTTAATCTTGTACAGTTCATTAGTCACCCCTTTACTGGTATGATTTTTGTCAGCATGTTTAATAATTTCGTAATTAGCTGCGGCACGCATAGCCGAAATTGAACTGCTATCATTATCAGAAATTACAATTCCCAATTGAACATTACATGCTTTAAAATGTACATTTTCCGTAACTAATTTTACGGCAGCTTTAGGCTCCATGGCTTTTGCAGAACCCTCGAAATTTCTTCTGCAATCATGGTCACTGGGATCATGTCCACAGTCACACATTCGACACTTTCGGTTTAGTGAAACGTAAGAAAGAATTTTTTTGTTAAAAAATCCTATCAACGCAGCTGAACCAGAAAGACTGTCATAATTATGCCCTGTACCTCTCGTTGTCCATCCCATATCAAATGAAGCGGCAATACGGACTGTACTTTCTAAATTAACTGTAACATTCTTATTTACTACGTCAAGTAGCGCCGAAGATATAATAAATCTATTCTTCAGGTGAGGAGGCCTACGGAGGAGGTGAAAGGACATTGTAAATAATAACTCATTTCAAATTCATATTATTTACAAAATTGTATTAAAAATCACATGAACAATATTTATTGTAACTTCACAATAATTTTTAAAGATATTTCATATTTTATATGTATATATTTAAATAGTTTAAAATAAAAGAAATCAAAATATACCGATGAAAATTGATACATAGCATGTATATAAAAATTGTTATATGTACAACTGTATGAATAACGTACAAGATATTCAAGTGCATCATTCATTGTAATGAATTACATTAGTATATTAATTAAAAATTGAATTTCATCGTATAATTGCTTACAATAATTGCTCGAGCTTATCAACATTTTGTATTGTGAATTCTCGCTCGGAAAACGTTGCTTGCCTGCAGCTGTCCATAGCCATCTTCTCCACAATGCAACCCACCTCCTTTTCATGTGTTTTATATGTGTTAGCATAAAATGGAGGAATATTGAAAGAAGCCAGCATGTTGTTCAGATGTACATTTCCTACACCTGTATTGAGTGTAGCTGAAATGTACATAAAAATTACAACTGCTATATAAGATTGATTCTACTGATTATGTATTATATATAGATAAATTAACTTACCCATCGCTGCTCTTGTATTTACGTTGTAGTGTTTTATCTGCCTTTCCTCTTTTTCTGTTGCAACCTCATGCATTTTATCAGTAGCAACTCGTGTGATTTTTAGACAACTCCGACATTTTACAGTAAATAATGAAGCTAACCCGATTCGATGTTCGCTAATAGTGTCAGTCAAAGAAACCACACTGCCACAATGTTTGCAAAATAATTCTTTCGCAAGTGTTTCCAAGTCAATTATGCGTCGTCCTGTAAGTACTTGGAGATCGCTTCCATTTTCAAGGTTATCGGACACTTTTCGGTCATGATTTCGGCAACCATAAACGTTTCTCAAGTTCTTCCCCGTATTTTGTAGACGTTGTCTCCGTTTGTAAACTTTCTCACTTACACGTTTTCCTTTCCAATAGTATTTTTTGTTAACAGAATTTTCACAAGATATTTTTAGCAATCAACACTGATGAACACCGTGATCTAACTCCAATCTAACTCATAGGCCGAATTGACCAGGCGAATACAATGTTGCCAGATTTACTGCGTACACTCGGAAATACGCTAGTCAAGCAAGCTGTTTTTTTCTTTGACTAACTATGTACCAGATAAACCTCCTTAAATTCACCGCCATGCCGTTCGGAATGAAAAACGCCGCAGACACATTTCAACGTTTCAACAATACTACTTTCCAGGACCTCGATTTCGTATATTGTTACATAGACGACATCCTGGTGGCATCGGAGACGCCAGAACAGCACCTACAACATCTGCGCAAGACTTTCGAGAGGCTGCAGGACGCAGGCATTACCATCAACGTATCGAAGAGTGAGTTCGGACGCGAAGAAGTTCAATTCCTGGGATATAATGTTTCAACAGACGGAATTAAGCCACTGGCGACCAAAGTCCAAGCAGTACTGGACTACCCAAAGCCGCAAACAATTGTTGAGCTACGCAGATTCCTAGGGATGATAAATTACTAGCGACGCTGTATAAGAAACGCTGCTCACGATCAGGCAATCCTCAATGAATATCTCAGAGACAGCAAGGAAAATGACGAGAGACCAGTACAATGGACCGAAGAAGCAAGTAAGGCTTTTGAACGCTGCAAACGCTCCCTAATTGAAGCAACATCCCTCGCTCATCCGCGTGAAGAGACAACATTGTACCTCACGACGGACGCATCGGACACAGCAATAGGGGCCGCTCTCGAACAGATGGTTGACGGAAAAACCCAACCACTAGCATTTTTCTCCCGAAAGCTGAGCAGCACGCAGCGTAATTACAGCACTTACGATCGGGAACTTCTGGCCGTTTGTGAAGCGATAAAATATCTCAAGAATTTTGTCCACGGAAGACCCCTGATGGTTCGTACCGACCATAAACCAATAACCTTCGCTTTCCAACGGAAACTCGATAAAGCTTGACCGAGACGGGCCAGACAATTGGATTTCATCGGACAATTTACAACCGATATCATTCACGTCTCTGGTGAGGACAACCCGGTCGCAGACGCGCTCTCAAGAATCTCCGCAGTGAACGTCCCAGTAATCGTCAGCACGGAAGAACTCGCAGGAGAACAAAGCAGCGACGAAGAGTTAAAAGACACTATGTCTTTTGAGAACAAAGCAGCGACGAAGAGTTAAAAGACACTATGTCTTATGAGAGGTGAGACGAGAATAAAACTCCAAGCATTCACTCCGCCAGGCACGGAAAC